AGGGTAAACTGTTGACTACGCCCACTGGCAGTCCCCGGATTCTCTGAATTTTTCTTCGAGAATCAAAACATGCTATAAGTACCTACAAATGTCTCAAACAAATCCCAAATCAGTCTCAAGGCCCATTTTGGCCAATTTAGGAATTCCGACACGGCGGCTCCGCCGTGCTCCGGCGACGATGCCGCCACCCACGGCAATGATCCGCCTCGAGTAAGCTATTTTCGGTTAGATTTGGCCGATTTTGCATCAATCCCTGTAAGAAAACATGTTAAGGGGGTCTCCGTTGGCCCAAAAAATACAAAAAATTGAAACTCACCAGCACGAGGGCTCTCCAGTGCGGCGGCTCCTCCGGCTCACGTTGCGGTTGGGTGTTTTGCTCTGATCAACCTGTAGAGAAGGAAACAATGATCACAATGGTGAAAAAATTACGCAAAACGGGAATCGAGAAGGATCTCATCGGAGGCGCTTTGTGGAATTTTCGGCAGCAGCGCTGTCGGGCTTTGCTCATATTTTTCGACCAATCAGCCGGTCCTTTTACTCCGATTTAATCATGAGTGTGTTTAAAATTGAATTCTGGACAAATGAAATTTTTTTTACCTTTTTTGGTGATCGGAAAGGGGTCTAGCACGGCAGGGGGTGGCGGCGGTCTCCTTCCCGGCAGCTAGGTCTTCTTCTTTGGTGAGGGGGTCTAGCAGCTAGGGTTAGGATTTAGTGTGAATGAGAGTTATTTATATCCGTCCGAATTTAATCTGGCCCGTCCATCGTGTTTGATCTGAACCGTCCGATCGCAATTAAATAGAGAGTGAATCTGGACCGTTCATCGCGATCTAATCTGGACTGTCTGATCGCGTTTAAATATGACCGTCCGATTGCATTTGGAGAGGGAACGCATCCAGGCCATCTGTGCCCGCGGGAACGGATCTGGGCTGTTCGATCGTGGGCACGCGGATCGCCAGCGTGACCTCCCGCGTGGCACTACGTCAGCGTCCGCTGCCACGCGACGCTGTCCTGATTCGTCGGGACATATGACCGGACATTCTACATGGCAAAACTTCTCTAAATTGTATTTTGAGCCACAGTTTCTGATTTTTGTTTTAAAAATACTCCAAAAACCCAAAATTTCATCTATTTTTTTCAAAATTATTTTTAATTTAATCCTCCACCAATTTTACTTTATTTTTACTCTAAATTAAAATTAAAAATTAAAAAATTAAAAAATTATATTAATAAATAAATCTTATATTACATTAGAAATTAATTTTGAGTATTACATTTTTTTTATCAATCATCTCGCTTTAACATATATTAGTATCAATATTTTTTTAAATAGATTATTCAAGTATTTTGTTAGACTTCTTATGTCAAAATAAAGATCAAATAATAAATTTTTCTTGTTAGGTGGTATGAAAAGAGGTACTTAATCAATTAGTTATTAACTATTATTAGCTTTTTTGTGTTTTATCAATATCTTTGACTTCTCTTACAACTTATTTTTTTGGCTTTTACTCTTACTATAACTTTCAAATCACAAAGTAATATTATTATATTAATCTTTTTTTATAGGTCATTCGATGTGTGAGTTAATTCAATAAAAATTTTAATCTTGGTATCCTTTATAAATTCATCAAATCTGACAAAAAAAAAATATCAAGAGAAATGAATCTAGTAACGTATTAAAGAATTATTATGAAGATTTCATTTATTGTAACGCCCAATAATTTCTTGATTTTTATTTTTATTATTATTATTAATTTTATTTAGTTTATTTTATAATTTTATTATTTTAATTGATTTATTTATTTTATTCAGTTTATTTTAATTTAATTTAATAAAAATAAAAATAACAATAATTGTAAAATTAGGTAAAAATATTATTTGGATTTAATTGAAATTAATTTTGGGAAAAAGGGGTGAAAATTAGGATTCTGGGGGTATTTTTGAAAAGAAAATCGGAAACCGGGGGGTCAAAACGTAATTTAGAAAAATTATGCCCCGTCAGCGCCACGTCAGCAGCCACGTCAGCGGTCCAGTCAGCAGCCCTGGCCAACCAGGACCTGCCGCGTGGCAAGACCACGTCGACCCGGGAACGGGCCACGTGGGCGATCCGTGTGCGCGCGATCGGACGGCCCAGATGCGTTCCCGCGCGCACGGACGACCCAGATTAAGCGTGCGCACAGACGGCCCAGATGCAAGCGCACGGACGGCCCAGATGCACGCGCACGGACGGCCCAGATTCAATCGCACACGGACGGTCCAGATTTAATCAAAATGGACGGCTGTGATCAAAAGGCAAATGGTATAAATAGAACCCCCACACCTGACCACAAAAACCCTAGCCGCCTGCCCTCGCCGGAGAAGAAAAACCAGACGCCGGAAGAGCCGGCCGCCGCCACCCACCGCCGCACCGGGGAGTTTTTCGACCGTTGATCGAGGTAAATTTCATACCCCCGGCTCATTTTTCAATGCTGAGTTTTCCTGTGGCCAAATCAGAGCCAAAATCCTGGCCAAACGGCCGAAACCCAGCAGCGCCGCCGTGCCCCTCCTCGGTTTTTGCCTCCTATGAGGCCCTTCCCGGCCTCTGTTTGATACAATTTTTATATCACCGTGATCACCATTCTTTTCTCTACAGGTTGATGGGAGCCAAATTACCAAAACACGAACCACGTCGGAGAGCCGCCGCACCCGAGAGCACCGCCGCCGGTAAGCTTTGGTTTTTCGTAATTTTTTGACCCCTCGAGGGCCTTAGGGTTGTTTTATCGTAGGGACCGATGCAAGTGTGGCCGAATTCGGTCGGAAATGGCCGAAAATGGCCAACCCGAGGTGAATCGCCGCCGCAAGCGGTGGCGCCGTCGCCGGAGCACGGCGGAGCCGCCGTGTCAGAATTGCGATATTGGCCGAAAGGGGCCCTGGGTCTAATTTGGGATTTTTTAGGACACGTACAGGTACCAGTAGTGCGTTTCAGTTTCCCGAAAAAAATTCAGGGAAAATTAGGGACAGCCTGTAGGCGCACTATAGAGCCGTATTCAGACCCCGAAACAAGTAAGGACCCCTCACCCTATTTCCTATCACGGTATTAAAGTTCAATAAATGATAAAACGGTATTTCATGAATCAATAGATGTGTGAAATTGTTTAAGGTCGCTAATGGAGCTCGAGTCTGGTGTGTTTGTCGGTCAGCTGTTGTTTGGCCTATTTTACAGTCTTAAATGCAGTATGAGGTCTGATGTTTTCATTTCATAGTTTCGTGTCCATATATCACTGTTTTATTGATTATGGGTTGAATGACTGAGAACTCGATGTTGTATGTTGTCTTGTTTGGCATAAATTACTGCTTTGCTTGTTTGTGTGTAATTTGATGATGCTGACTGAGGAAAGGGGGAATAAAAGGGTATGTGAATTGATAATTGTTTAATGTGGTCAGCCTGACTAGATATCTTGGGAGATGGTGGACGGACCGGATCCGTAGGGAACCCTACCGGGATTGTGGTCTCTCATACCGGACGGGGTATGGAGAGCTTATGTGTTTTGGCGCCCATACCGGACGGGGTATAGGGACGACCCGTTTCACCCTCATACCGGACGGGGTATTGAGGTTTATAGTTTTGGCGCCCATACCGGACGGGGTATGGGGACGGCCCTGAAATCTGATTACAAGTGTTAAGGGTTCACGGGTAGCGGGACCCCTATGGATCCCCATGGATACTAGTAGGCTGGTAAATGAGGAAAGATATGTTGTGTAATGATTGAAATGCAAAAGGCGTGATAAGTATCATGTTATACAGTTCATATGATTTCATGATGATGATAATGTTATTGCTTTCGTATATTGTTTTATAAATTTCACCGAGGTAAGTGGATAGTAAAGGATTTTATAATTGATAAAAGAATTTGTTGTAAATTATGCTCCATTGGTCTTTTTGTGTTTTCTACCCACCTTTACCTCCGTGACGGTGAGATAGTGTGATGTCTTTATTGGGCTGGTGTAGCTCATTCCTTATTTAATCATTTCAGATCAGGAAGACATAGTTCCCGAGCCCGTTCCGCAGGAAGACGGCGAAGGGGACGCTTGAAGACTCTGTAGTTATATTTATAGTTTTTATTTTCGAGTTTGTCTTTTAATTAGTTTATTCTTTTATACTTTAAGCACGTTTTTGGTTTTAGTGTAAGGGATGTTAATCAAAATTTTTATTCCGCTTCCGCATTTGACCTTTTTAATACATATATTTCATTTCAAAATTTCGGGGCTGTTACATTTATTATTAAGTATGGCATGAGTGACTGAAGGTGTCGCATGGGACAAGTTGATTAGCCAACTCAATAAGATGGATCAAGTGATA